ATTGCGACTGACCATGGAAAAATCGTTTGCAGCCACGGCTGTATAGTATTGTATTAATTATACTGCCTCGGCCGCAAGCGACCTCGGTTTGACTTAAAGGGAAAGTGCAGGATTGTGTTTGAATCAGCCGAGGTTGTATAATATTTTATCAATTGTACTGCCTCGGCCGCAAGCGACCTCGGCTTGACTTAAAGGGAAAGTGCATGATTGTGCTTGAATCAGCCGAGATCACTTTCAGCCGAGGCTCTATAATATTGTATCAATTATACTGCCTCGGCCGCAAACGACCTCGGCTTGACTTGAAGGGAAAGTGTTTGAATCAGCCCAGGTTGCTTGCAGCCGAGGCTGTATAATATTGTATCAATTATACTGCCTCGGCCGCAAGCGACCTCGGTTTGACTTGAAAGGAAAGTGCATGATTGTGTTTGAATCAACCGAGGCTGTATAATATTTCATCAATTATACTGCCTCGGCCGCAAGCGACCTCGGCTTGACTTAAAGGGAAAGTGCATATTCAACTTAACTTTAACCAAGGTTGTTTCTCAACAAAGTTTAAAAAATAAATTAGCTCTAGATAGACACTTTTAATTTCAAATTAATTCATAAACCTTTATTTTCTTTTCAGAAAAAAGCAAGCAACCAGAACACATTCACATCTACTCCCTTAGAGAACATCGGGGAACGTTAAAAATGCATCATTTCACTGTTGAAGAGTTTTGGCCGGAAGGAACTCTATTAAAAATAAACAACTTTTCAGATAAATCCGAAACGCCTCATTCCGAGGATGTGATTAAAAAACAAATAACCAGCGCTGAAAAGACGAAAATGAAGTGGCACAACACTGAGCATTTTGCGTATTTTTGCCGGTACGGTCAACCGGAAACGCCTAGAAGTAAACATGTAAGTGATACCCACAAAAACGAAAACTGTTTGTTTAAGGTACTATGTTTTTTAGAGCAGCGAAAATGTAAAGGGTATCAATTTTGGATTGTACGCGGGCTTTGCAATGTTCAGGCGGATGAGGAGAGGTTCTAGCCAAAAGTGAAAATTATAAAGTTTCTGTGTAAAAAGATTTTTTTTGTAGTTTAAGACACCTCAGTTCGCGCTTAGTCATGTAGATAGCGTTTGTAAATATTTATAATATATAGTATTTTATAATTATTATAAAACTAATCGTATTTGTATTGTAACAAATGTTTTATTATTATTAATTTAAGTTTTTTTTTTGTAATATTTATGTTAAATATCAGCACCTATTTTAATTTTTTTGCATAATTATATCGCTTCGTAAAAATAATTTTGCGTTTGGCATTAATGTTTTAGAATTAATCGTCGCAGCTAAAGAATTACTTGTTGATACACAAAATGGCAACAATTAATCTTTAAAAAAAAAAGATATAAACGCTGTGATATTTCTAATAAAAATAAACACAAACATCCGCTTTGGTTTTAAAATTGATTTTTTTTCCATGTTTTTATTATCAAATTGCAAGCAATAAACAACACTTCACTTGACAATTTGATGGTCATTTAAAGTCGAATAGCCATACACATAATTTATTAATCTGATAGATATTTTCGTAAATTTATTGTGGCGTGATATCTCCGTGTATGATTAAATAAGATAATTTAAAAACGCAATTATTAATCCAAAAAATTTTCGATGTTAAGTTTTTGTGTTTTTGAAGTTTTGATCCACTCTACATATACAGGAAGTCGTGCTTTACATAAATTTATTCTTATCCAAACTTTAAAACTATGTTGAGGATGTTTATATCATTTTATACATCTGATTGGAAACTTGGAAAGTTACTTTCATACATTAACTCTTTTCCTAAAATACAACAACATATATGTTTAATAACATAAATCTTTTCAGTTCGGTATTTACAAAAAAACACAGAAATAGATTTAGATATCTCTTAAAATAATAACAAATTTGGGTTTCAACTTTAAATTTTAACCACGAAAGTAATGAAAAGAAAATTTTACATCACATCAATAAGAATCATCTTATAGCATTCAACTAATCTATAAGATTAGTAAATTTATTAATTAAAGATATTCTTCTTTGAGAACTCCTTTTATTTGCAGTCTAAAAAAAAGTAAGTTTTATGACTATTTCTCAGATTTCCCATATTAATATTAGATTAGATTATTAAATTGGGTTACGAATTAGATAACCTAGATTCAGTTTTGTATTTCCCCCTAAAATATGTCACACCAACTTTGTTAATTTTAACGATGTATTTCACGAATTGGAATAACACAAACTAGAAAAATTAAGATCTTGCGTTTATAAAATGTTGACGATTGATTTTTGCATTTCAACTTTATTATTGACGTGAGTAACTAACAGTTACTACTACGTTCTCACTTGCGATATTATAACGTGTTTTTTAACAATGAAACTGGGTGATGATTCTATAATTAATATTTTATCAATTTAAAAGTGATCTAAACTGTGAAAAACTGTAAAAGTGACTTCAGCTAAACTTTGAGAAAATAAACTGGACAATATATTGCATACGTGGTGTTGATGAAGAAATTTCAGATCATAGCTTTTGTTTTGATAGTGATATTTCTTTTTGTTCTAAAATGAACTTTGTAGGAGAATGTAGTTGTTTATTTAAAAGAAAAGATAATTGTGAATCTTTTTCTTGCGCAGTTTTAATTTCCAAAAGATTAGGATATGAAATTTCGAGTGAGTCAATATCTATGGGTGACGAGGTATCTAGGTAGCCACTATATCAAGGAGTCTCCCTTGATAAATTTGATATCCGAAGAAAATTGAGCGATGAAGTCTAAGTAACGACTTTGACGTGGAGTTTTTTCTGATTTTGAATATAACGAGGCTATTATTGGTTTATGGTCTGTGTAGATAATGTAAAAATGTCTGAAAAATTTAATGGATGAATAAATTGCCAGCAATTCTCGATCAAAAGTCGAGTATTTTGCTTGACTAGGCGATAGTTTTTTTGAAAAATAAGCGATGGGTTGTGAAAAATTACTAATTTTTTGCGATAATACTGCTCCAATAGCCGTATTGGAAGCGTCAGTAAATAAATATTTATAATTGACCAGTTTTACAAGAATGAGCCGAGTTTTTGAATTTGCTAATTGAGTTTTAGAGAGTTCAAAACTTTGATTACACTTTTCTGACCAATTTTCAATAACTTTGCTTTTATTTTTATAAAGTAAATTCGAAAGATTTGGAACGAATCTATGATAAAAGTTTATCATACCCAAAAATCTTTGTAACTGTTTAAGTGTTTTTGGTGTTGGAAAATCTAATATAATTTTAATTCTGTCATCTGAAGGACGAATGCCTAGAGGAGAAACGTGATAACTCAAAAAATTTATGGATTGCACACCAAAAATGCATTTAGAAGGTTTAATTGAAATTCCAAAATCATCGGCATTTTGCCAATATATTTCACAGGTTTGGAAAAATCTGGAGTTGAAATTGGATTGGGATATTTTTTTAAAAATTGAGTATATTTTGTTTCGACAGTGAATAATTTTGGAGTTGGAACAATTGAGTTAATAAGTGGACCTGATGATGTCAATTTAGTTGTTAAATCAACTAAACATTGATTTCTAATATCTACCAAAATATCGAATTTATTAAGAAAATCTGCATCAATAATAGATTTTGAAATATCAGCAACTGTAAAAATAAAAGGGAAATTTCTTCGAAGATTTAAATTTATTGTTAACATTTTTTTACCATAAGTAACAATAATTGAACCATTTGCTGCTGTAAGGAAAGAGTCTTTACGTCTGCACCAGTATCTATCAAAAAATGAAGTTTGTTTTGATGATTGAAGATAAAAAGTCGAGAACTTTTCTGGTGAATTGGTGCAATGATATTGTGATTTTTTACCCACTGTCGAAACTTTTACTCGTTTTGAATGTTGTTTTATAAATGAATTGTGAAAAATACACCAGGCTGAACATTTCAACGCTTTATCACCGTAGTTGCTATGATAAAAGCACATTTTTGAAGAATATGCAGGTGAACGCGAACGATTATGTGAATTTTGAATTGGCTTCTACAATTTGAACAAAATTCCGTTTTTGTTGAAGAATTTTCTGAATTTACTTATTTTTGTAACGCTTTAATTTGTGTTTCCAGTGATAATTGTTTTTGCGAAAAAGGTTTTATGAAATCAAAATTATTGTTTTGAACGGAATCATTTTTAGAGGATGAAGAAGAAACTTCCGAAATTTTATAAGGTCTTGAAAAAGAGAATTAAATGATTCCCAAATTTTATCAGCGATAGAAAGTAACAGAAATTGTTTGAGGTAACCTACGTTTCCAAAGTTTTAATAAAATATCTTGGCTAACCATTTGAGAACCGCCTACAGTGGTTAGCATTCCCCTATAGAAATCGGATGGTTTCTGGTCACCCATTTCTGTTCCAGACAAAAAGTCGTCTAACTTCTTTTCTTCACTTTGTGAAAGTCTAGTTATTAAAATATTTTTAAGGAAATTGTACATATCGCGTTCAGGTGGATTAGAAATAATGTCATAAATAGTTGAGATGATTTCAATAGGTAGATTTGTTATGACAAGGTTATTTAGTCAGAATGAATTCTTGAAATAGTAAATTGTGCCTCGATTTGAATGAACCAGAGTTCTCATGAACGCTCATAAACGAGACAATCAACGATCCTTAGCAGCAAGCTGAGCATTTAAAATTTTAGCAAGATCCAAGCTTACATATCTTGCACTGTATCTCAAAATATTTTACTTCAACTTTGTGATATTGTGCATAACCCCAAAAATAAAGATTAAAATTTACGTATTTCGCTTTTTTCCATTTTCCTTAAAAGTCCCACAAGTCATCCTATTATAAATAGTTATATTGGAACACTTATTTATATTCAATTCCAATGAATATAAAAAAAAAATCCCAACTTGACATATAACTCAATTATTATAAAAATATAAAAATTAACTTACCTCACGTAAAAGTCCAAACAAAACGTCAGTACTCAACGACCGTTCGTGGGCTTCATCCATAATAATGGCACTATAATGATCTAAATCGGGCTCCCGAAGACTTTCTCGTAATAAAATACCATCCGTCATATATTTTATTACTGTGTTTTCTGATGTGCAATCTTCAAAACGAATTGCGTACCCCACTTCATCACCTAAAACACACATAATTATAATGATTTATTTCAAAATAATTGTATTAACTTATTAGCTTATTAAAATATTAATTTTTAGGATTACTAAAATAATTTTTTTTTACCTAATTGAGTTCCCATTTCGTCACTAACACGTTTTGCAACTGACATCGCGGCAACGCGACGCGGTTGAGTACAACCGATCATCGCGTATTTACTATAACCGTCTTCGTGTAAATATTGAGTTAATTGTGTCGTTTTACCACTACCGGTTTCACCAACAATAATAACCACCGAATTTTCTCTAATAACATTTAACAGTTCTTGCCTAACCGCAAACACCGGTAGATATCTACGTTGTTCCGATATCGTCTTTTTCCTTGAAAATTCACTAACAGCTTCAGTTTTAGTCATGTGTTCGGCAAACTTTTGATCTGTTTTATAATCAGCGGTGTCATTATCTTTATTAAACTTTGCGTCTTCTTCATCTTCTTTCTTTTTAATCCCCATAATGTTACCTTAATTTTAAAAAAGAATTGAATTATAACTCCAGAGTGGTTTTTATTAGTATTTTATTACCTATTGTTGTTCCTCCTAATTCCCAATGTTTTTTCTGAGCTTTACGACGTTCCTTTTGTTCGCGATAAACTCGAACTAAGTGGGATCCTTTTCTAGCGACCATCGCCATATCAGAGGTTGCATCCCTAAAAGTTAAAACGAAATTAACTAAGAAATTAATTAAAAAATATATATCGTTTGTTTTTATTGTTGATAAGTAATCCTTAATAAATTTTGAAATCAGGGTTCGACCGATTTAAATCAAATGATTTATTTATTTTAATCAATGATTAAATAAATCAAAAACAAAACTGAAAATAAAACTGCACTTTATTACAAAATTAACAAAACGTTTAATACAAAAATTAACATTCATTATAACATTTATATAAGAAAACAAGTTTTCCTGCCTTTTCAACACCTAACTTGTTTCGTAAAGTAGAGTGAACAAGCCCAAATGTTGAATATATTCTCTCAACATAAACTGATGAACAAACTGCACATAAAATTGCTTTAATATTGGCAGTACCTTCTCTACTTCAGCAATGTGTTTTTGTGATACCCACCATTGTAAAGACATTACTTAAGACTTCCTCTGAAAATATTACTGATGAAAATGGTTCCATTTTAGCTTGTAGTTTTATAGTTAGCGGTAGTAAACCGGTATTGGCGTACATTTCCTTTATTGTATTTAAAGCCTCCTCTTTTTCTACGAATATTAACTTATACATAGTTTTAGTAATATTTGAAATATAGTCTGTAATGGTTAGACGTAACTGCCTGCTTATATCGTTTATCAAAAACTTTCATTTGTACTGATGACTATTTTTCTTCGAGTAATGCATTTAATTTTTTCCAAACTTCCACTGCGTCAGAGAGGTAAGCATTCTTTTTTTGTAATTTGTCAAGTGCTACAGTTATAGGTTTTAAGATATTCAAATAATCTTCCACTGAGCGTTTAAGACCGACCTTTTTTGTACATTGTCAACTCTATTTCCTTTTTATTCTCTTATTTTTTTGAACCTTTGTGATCCTTTAACTTTAATGATGGTTATCGGTTGTTATGCAATTGTTAGTTTCAAAAAACAACGATAAAAAATGCTTTTTATTCTCGACACACACTTTTAATAGTTTCTGCCATTGGCTTACATATACTTCCAAACAATCTGCCATACTATTCCACCTCACATCACTTGGCAGCACTAATGCTTTTCTATCAAGCTGTGTGTATTTGGTCCTAGCTAATTGGTTATTTCTAAAATATTTTACAATTTGTGTAACATGCTCTTTGATATTTGTTACTTCTACATCTTTGTAAAGTAGATTTAAAAGGTGAGCAGAACACCCATAAGTTTAGTGATAACTTGATAATATAACGCGGGTGTTCAATTTCTCTTCTATGGTTCTTCTCATTAGTACCATATTATCAGCATTATCTGTTACAAATGATGTCACGTTACAGTTGTATTTTGATTTAGACGAGGAAATTATATTGCCAGCAATATCAGTTAACTAGCCACTTGTATGGGGATTTCCGGATGTATCTATAGTTTCAAAAGAGAGTGTCCAGTTTCAATGGTTATAGTAGCGCATACTATAGGTTCATTGCGTACATTAGACCAATCATCAGATATGTTTACGCCACACCCAGAAAGACTTCCACAACATTTAGTTTTCTCTTCTTCATAAATTTGTTCCAAAAGTGTCGTAGAAATTTTTCCAGAAGAGGGATTATAACCAGGTCTTAGCAATTCAATTGCTTTCTCCACGTGTGCATTGTCCATACATCTAAAGCTGCTGTTTGTTGCAAATACAGCTCTTGCAATTTGTTTATTTATTTCTTGTTTTTTATCAATATGCCTTCAAACAATAAAGTTTTCCAAATTTGTGTTAGCATTCGTTTTCCGTTTTTTAGATATAATAGCCGAATCATTGTGACCAAATGACATCGAAAAACTTGCAGATGAGCAAGCGCTTGCCGGCCGTTTTTGAGAGGTGGTAACTAAAAACGCCTCATTACTAGCAAGGGTTGATTCAGATGAGTTCTCAATTCCTATACAACAATATCGAAATAATTCAAAATAGTACTTTCTCATATTTTGTTCAAAATTTTACATTTTTAAATATCATCAAAACTGCAGAAGATAATTGAATATACAGCATGCTTTTCACCATACTGTATTACATACACAGCCAAGGAGCATATTGTTGTATTTTACAACATTCAGAGAGTAAGTACGCCAAATTTTATTTAAACTATGGCCAAATACCGGTTTTATGGTGATAATTACAAAAAAATACGCAATAAAATATAGTAATCCATTTAATACGTGAGAAGGTAATTAAATTTAATATTCTTATTATAGTATTGTACTTTTCAAACTGGTTTTATTATTTATTTAATTAAGTTTTATTAGTTTCATCCCATGGCCATCTTCAGAGACTAATGTCATAAGATATAACTAAGATGTCATATTGCAAAGTATTAAGTGTAATTGTAAATATTTTAAATAAAATTACTTTGAGTTTACGACAAACAACAGATCGACACGTTAAATCAGAACGTTCTTTTTAACGTGTCGATCTGTTGCTTGTCGTAACCTCAAAGTAATTTTATTTAAAATATTTACAATTACACTTAATACTTTGCAATATGACATCTTAGTTAACTCTTATGACATTAGTCTCTGAAGATGGCCATGGGCCGAAACTAGTAAGACTTAATTAAATAAATAATAAAACCAGTTTCAAAAGTACAATACTAAGAATATTAAATTTAATTACCTTCTCACGTATCAAACAACTGGTCAATGGATTTTAACTATAATTATCTAATCCATTTAAAATAACGAAGTTGTAGTCTATTTTTGGTAGACCAGAAGTGGTGAATATCTTAAGAATATTTAATATATACTAATATACATATTTATATGTATATAAATTAATATACTATTTACCTTTAACTAAATTAATTTCTATGTTACTTGGTCCAGGGTCTTCTCCATCAAAGATCCTGTGCTTGCACTTCTCATGGTGTTCTTTCAACCTTTGAACTAGTGCTTGTATATTTTTTCCGCAATTTTTACAAACACGACACAACAATTTTTTATATGGGCGGAACCGAAAACACCCTTCATTGGACAAAACAAGTAATCAACAGTTGGGAGGCCTCAAAGGTAGCCTTACGCTGGAAAGAACTTTCAGGTCACAGACAAGCGAAACAAAGGAGATCTGAAGACGTACTCAAGTTTCCTGGCCGGCCAAACGCCCCTACAATACCACTTCTTCCACATTGGACAAGCTGAGGATCAAACTTGTCGACTTTGCAACGACGAGTCAGAAACTTCTGACCATATACTATGTAATTGCGTCGCTAGAGGCCGCCTAAGACACAACATTTTCGGTAAAGCTCTTTTGACCCCTACCGACATAAAGGAACAAGACCTTGGTGCAATACTAAGGACCTACATTTGCCCTCAACTTCTGGAGGGCTAAAGTTACAATAGGTCTTATAAGTCGCGCTGACAAGAGGGGCCGCTCCTCTCAGCCCAGCAGCAATAATAATAATAATGGGCAGAACAAAAAAAAAACCGAACGTCCGATTTTTGTAAGGACTTTGATATAAAAAAATATATCTTCTAACACATATAAACGCGTTCTTAAATGAGAGAACTAGCAATAAAACACTAATAATCACCCGTTTTATGTTACATAACATAATTGATCTAAAAATTTTTAAAAAATCATGATTTTTTTTATAATATTATCATGATTTAAATCACTGATTTTGATTTTTTTAATAAAATCATGATTTATTTGAACCCTGCTTGAAACCATAAATACTTTTTTGCGCAAAAGTTGTATACAGATACTTACTGTAAACTTTGTCCCTAGTGAGACTTGGGCTTGCACAATTTCGCCAGTTTTGGTTGCCCAAGTCACACTAGGCGTTGTGCGTTAAGCCCTATAATAAATAAATTTAATAAAAATAATTTTTTACCTAACAGGTACAACAGGTTCGGGTTGCTTAGTGAATACAATTCTTCCATCAAGAAATGGTGGAACGATGTTATGAACTAATAAGTGAACCCTATCGACTGATTCTTCATCGAAATCTTCACTAAAATCTACGGAATGGACTACACCTGAAGTGATCATTCGATTTCTCTCCCAAAGTTCATTATCTTTATTAATTTGTCTCTGTTGAGCTGAAAGTCGTTTCTTTCTTCTTTGTTCTAATTGCTCCTCTTTTTTCTTTGTATACTCGTCACTTACACTTGAAAATGGGTTGTTTTCATCATCATATCCTGAAATTAATTTAAATTATAACAATTTAATTTTTAAAATATTGCTAAAGATTTTACCTTCATCCATATTGTACCATTCCCTATCAATTCTTCGTTGCTCTTCTTCCCATAATTGTCTATCGACTGTAGATTCCCATTTCACATGTCCCTCTTCCTTTATTGGACCGGGAGTTGCACCAGTTTTTTTCCTATCCTTCGCCCAAGAGTTATATTTATGTGCTGGGGTAGCCCTTGGAGTGTTATCATATTGTTTCCTATCACTTTTTTTATGTGATTTTCCTCTTTCCTCTTCATACTTTGACTTAGTACTTCTTTCAGACCAATCTCCCCCACTTGGTGATTTATAAACATTTGGGGTTGGAAAATCCCATGAAGATTTTTTTGAAGGAACAGGATCGTCATCATCCCAAGACGATCTTGATGTATTATCTTTCAATTTTATGTTTGGAGTTGATGGCTCATCAGAAAATTTCGGTGTTCTTTCACTTCTGCTTGGTTCCCTTTCGGATTTAACATATCTGTTTCTTCTTTCGTAATCTTTATCCCTGTCTCGATCTCTATTTCTATCTTTACTATGTTTTTCATCTTTACTTTTTCGTTTTAAATCTTTTGTGCTAGCAAAAATACGTTTCTCCCTCGCCCTATTCATTCTATCCAGCACCCTTTGTCTGGCCTCCTCGGTTATCCCGCCGGTATAAGTAGGAGTTTCACTTTGCGGTTGACGAAATTTTCGATTCTCTTTCGACTTTTTAATACCGTGGCTCGTTGATTCTTCGCCACCATCCTCTTCGGATATAGAAAACGACATTTTCCGCTCATTTTCCTCTTTTTGTTTTCGGATTTGAGCGGATAACTTATCTAGACCCAAACGGGAGGATTGAGGTACTTTAAAGGTAGGTTCTTTTTTGCGTATGATTAAACCCCCAGTTTGATCATTTACAGCCTCTAAACGGTGCACATTATCTTCTTCCATTTTTTAAACACTATTTTATTTAAAAAACGAAAAACGTAGCGTAACGTTTTTTAACCAAACATAACCTGTAATTTTATTTAGGTTGACTTGACAGTTGCGCATTAGTGACATCTATTACTAAAACGAAATATTACTGAATTATTTATAAATTTTTAATTGAGTGTGATTAATAATATTTAAAAGTATAAATAATATTATTTTTTAAATGATAATGATATTTTTATAATGATGTCGAAATAAAATAACGTAGATAGTGATTTTAATTGAAATGGTGTAAATTTGGTTGCCTATGCTGCATTAATTTTTTTGGGGTTATAGAAAAATTAAGTGAAGAATATGACTGAAACAAAAAGAAAAATGGTACAAGTTCTCTTTTATTGTATATAGATTCATCGTTGCATAATAAAGGTAAAATAAAGTCGTTAAGGACGCGAGAAAGAGTAACCGTAAAAGAGTAATGACCGTAATAATAAATAAAACGCCGTCGGAGTAGTAACGGAGAGCGTGTTATTGCGGAAATCATTGTATATGTACTACAAATTTAATTAAAATATCTTCTCACATTAATGTCGCATACAAAATGAAAAACTCGTTATTTATTAATTATTTTTTTTACTTTACGTAACCCACGAAACCTTAAAAGCATATGTATTTCCGACAGTAAAGGGGAGTAGGTAGGTAAAAGGTAAGCGTACGTCGTCGTCATCGTCTTCTCGCGATCATGTCAATTTAGAGCGTTTCAGCTGCTGAAGGTAGTGGCGTTGCACGGGCTTGTGCAGGGCCAGCTGTTCGAGGGCCTCGTCTATAGTAAACCATTGTCTTTTTCTGCCGATCGCTCGCGAATCTTCCCATTCGTCCAACTCTTCCGTTACCGTCATCACGTACACTTCGGTGCGATGTTTATGTTCGCGATTCTTTAAAAGAACACAAAATCATTTCATTAATTACACTGTAACATTAAATCTATCGAGAAAAAATTAGAATCTATTTAATCAATTAATTTATCTCCCTTTTAAATAGGAATCTTCCAATAAAGACTTAAATAACACAATTACATTAATACCATCGCGATTTTTAATTAGAAAAATTACTTTTATCTCGCCTTTTTGGTGACTTTATCTCTAGAATTAATCAACACGTGATTTCAATTATCATTTGATCACAATATTGCGAAAAAAAAATTTAAAACAATTACATGTGCACTCCACATGGACAAAAAAACGGTATAATTCAAGAATCATCGCGTCGCTTAAAAATCGACATTTTTTTTTTAAATCGACGGGTAATCACTCAAGTAAGCTGTCACAAATAAAAAAAAAAACGTAAAAGTTTAAAACTTACCGAAAAATCACTTTAAAGTTTCGACGTGACGTCACTTTTTATGGTTGAAATAAATCCGATAGTTTCTAGTTCTAGGTCTAGTGTTAGTTCTAGTTTTACACTAACACTATCATTAGAACTAACACAAGATCTAGAACTAGAATCATTCGGGTTTAGTTGTTTTGAGAGACGGAGGCTAAATCCGAATGATTCTAGTTCTAGGTCTAGTGTTAGTTGTAGATTTACACTAGCACTATCACTAGAACTAACACAAGACCTAGAACTAGAAACATTCGGGTTTAGCCGCACGTTTCTCAAGACAGCTAAAGCCGAATGATTCTAGTTCTAGGTCTTGTGTTAGTTCTAGTGATAGTGCTAGTGTAAATCTGGAACTAACACTAGACCTAGAATTAGAAACATTCGGGTTTAGCCACACGTCTTTCAAGACGGTTGAAGCCGAATGATTCTAGTTCTAGGTCTTGTGTTAGTTCTAGTGATAGTGCTAGTGTAAATCTACAACTAACACTAGACCTAGAACTAGAAACATTCGGGTTTAGCCGCACGTCTCTCAGGACGGCTAAACCTGAATATATTTAGTTCTAGGTCTAGTGTTAGTTCTAGTTTTACACTAACACTATTAGTAGAACTAACACAAGACCTAGAACTAGAATCATTCGGGTTTAGCCGTCTTGAGAGACGTGCGGCTAAACCGGAATGTTACTAGTTCTAGGTCTAGTGTTAAGCGGCTCCTAGATGGTCAATATTATTGTACAATATTTGATATTGCATAATAATATTGAGTAAATCAAAATGGGTTTGATTTTAATTGCACAATATGAAGTAAATTGCAACGACTGTGGGTAGTGTTGTGCAATATTAGCTCAGTTCTATCTCAGCTAGTACGAGGAAAGCTTCACCTGGTGAATCGAAAACAGCGCCAGCAAAGGAAGATGAGAGAAAGTTTATTTTAGAGGTTATAGAGCTATATCACTCTTTACCTTCGGTGTGGAAGATAAAAAGCGAAGAATATCATACAAATAAAAAAAAAACAAACAGTACGAAACAACTTCTTTCCAAATATAAGGAGAAATACGTTGGTTTGGAGGAATAGCATCTCTCACCATAGTATTCTCTTTACAGATTTCAGCTGTAATCATTTTCAGACGTTAGTCAAATAGCGTACCATCTAGCCACAGGAACTTTCGAAAAGCTAATAGTCGCAGATCATTCAATAAATTTGCATGTGTGTATTTTTTTCTATTTTTTTTTTATCTTGTGTCCATCTTCGGTTTTTCTTCTTTTTTATACAAACAGCTAGTGCAATGGCCACACAAATAGCAATATTATCAATTATCACTTATCATGTTGACTACAGAAGTGCTAAACGTTAACTGAATATTGAATGAAAGTATTGAAGAATAATATTGTGCCGTCTAGGATAATCACAAAATAATATTGTACAATATATTGCACAATAATATTGACCGTGCTATTGACTTTAGCTCTAGTGATAGTGGTAGATAGCGCTAGTTAGCATAAGATATCACTATGTTGCATTTTTTTATTGCAGTAAAATTAGAACTAACACTAGACCAACAACTAGAAACATTCGGATTTAGCCTTGCGTTTGTTAAGACGGCTAAACCCGAATGATTCTAGTTCTTGGTCTAGTGCTGCATAACAATTAACGCTAGCTGCTTCAGACGCACAGCTAATCTCGAAACTTTCTAATTCTAGGTCTAATGTTAGTTCTAGTTTTACACTAGCACTAGTACTAGAACTAATACAAGACCTAGAACTAGAATCATTCGGGTTTAGCCGTCTTGAGAGACGTTCGGCTAAATCCAAATGTTTCTACTTTTCGGTCTAGTGTTAGTTTTAGTTTGTAGTGTTTGTTTTACACTTTTGTACGCAGCCGCTTGCACCATAGGTGTTTTAACGTTTGTTCGTTACACGTGTTTTTGATGTCAAGTTTTATAGAAAGTTTTTCGTTGTTTTGTTAATATTGTACTTAGTTACTAACTGTCGCTTGTTTGCTTATAGTAAAGGTCACGCCCTGATGAAGCAATAAGTATTAATTGCTTAATATTGGCACGAACAAATAACTGAACCTAAGTGCTTGTTGGTAACGGGATTGAACAACAATCTCCTTGTTAGTTTTAGTAAATTACCAAAATATTTACCGTAGTTTACTGTAAATTACCAAACAAATTTTTCATACATTACCGCTAGATGCTAGAATGTATCTGTGCATGCGCGTTCGGTGTTTTGATAATGCTGTAAAGTCCCTATAAGAAACTTAAAAGAGTTGGTTATAACAGAAACTGTAACAAGTACTCTAGACGAAAATATTAAACGCAATTTTGAATCCCATTTCAGTAATTTTGAAAAATGTACAAACTTCCCAACCTTGCATTTTTCATCTTGTTGACTATTTTCAAAATTTAAATGATCAACTACAAAGTGAATGCCCTGTTTTAGAAGTAAAAACAATTCTATCACTTTTAAAAGCACGAAGAGATAGGGCTGTAATACCTTTACACTTAGCAGCAAATTTACTAGATCCAAAAATTATGGGAAAACATCTCAGTTACGGCGAGAACATTGCAGCATTGATCTAATGTAGCAAATGTTATGACTGAAATTGCCCATTATAAATCAAAAGAACAATTATTTTCTAACAGTTTTATATGGAAAGCTTTGGATACGGGCGAACTGCATTCTGTTATATGGTGGAAGGCTCTTTGTTGTACTACATCTTTAAACAAAGTAGCAAAGGAAATCTTAAATTGCTCACCCACAACGTGCGCAAAATTCATATTTTGTTTCATTTTTAGAGTTTTTAGAAACATTCGGGGCTAAACTCGAATGTTTCTAGTTCTAGGTCTAGTGGTAGTTCTAGTTTTACACTAGCACTATCACTAGAACTAACACAAGACCTAGAATTAGAATTATTCGGGTTTAGTCGTCTTGAGAGACGTGGCGTTAAACCCGAATGTTTCTAGTTTTCGGTCTAGTGTTAGTTTTAGTTTTGCACTAGAACTAGCACATGATCTAGAACTAGAATTATTGGTGTTTAGCCGTCTTGAGAGACGCGCAGAAGTCCGAATGTTTCTAGGTCTAGTGTTAGTTCTAGTTTTAAATGTTGTTTAGCGTTAGATTGAGGAATATTTTGTGAAACCAGAAACATTCTGGTTTAGCTGTGCGTCTCTTAGGACGATTAAGCTTGAATGTTCCTAGTTCTAGGTCTAATGTTAGTTCTAGTGACAGTGATAGGTAGCGCTAGTTAGCATAAGATACCACTATGTTGCATATTTTTATTGCACTAAAACTAACACTAGACCTAGAACTCAAAACATTCGGGTTTAGCCTTGCGTCACAAAACGTCGTTTTTTAAGCCACGTGATGATTTTTGAATTTTTAAAAAAAAAAAATAAAAAATTAAGATCTTAATCAAACTGAAATCCTCTCGCTATCGAAATATTTCGTTACCTCAAAAACACCAAGGCTTCGACCCAATTTTCCAACGACTCCAGCTTCCTCGAGGACTTCCCTGGTGGCTGTAACGCTTGGTTCTTCCTCCGGTTCTACTCCCCCGCCGGGTACAACCCATCTTTCCGGTTTACGAGAAGATGTCACTAGCAAAACCTAATACAATACATTAAAACTTACTCGATCCAAATCAAATTTGACTCTAAATTAAAATCTGTTGTAAATGATTAAAAACTTATTGAACTGAGACATATGGATTAATTAATATAGTATGTATATATTAATACCTCAGTCTCTTCATCAGAACGAACACATATGCAGGCGGCACGCCGCCTAAAGCCTTCGTCGTCGTAAATACGGATGGAATTCGGTTTTTCTTTGACCATTTTTCGTGGAGATGTTGAAAAAATTAAAATGTTGAACTGAGAGGGGCAACAACAACAACAAACCGCAAAAAGAATACGTAACACAAATCAACGGAGACTCTAAACGATCTATTCAGACAGCCATTGCCGTTGAAATTATTTTATCACACTTTTACTACATAACGATTTATCCATTTTAACCTGAGCGTAGAAACATTTACAGATAAAACTCTTACACAACAATTGTTACTCCGTGACCGGGAGTTGTAAGCGTCTTTTCTAGCCTGGAGCTAGCTGTACGTTGAAAATTTAAGGCCCATCCTGAGCGCGAAGGATTTTTTCACCGGTACAAAGTCAGAATGTTGCACAAAACGCGAAATCGACACCAAATAAAATACACCGCAAGCAGCTGTCACCTCGCGACTGCAAAGAAAAGCAAATAACTGTCAAAGATTTCAGAACTGCCAATACATCACTATTTATATTTACGTAAAAAATCGCTTTCTATTAATAAACAATCTTAAAGTTGTTGATCATTTAATTAATTAATAAGTAACGTTATTATTACACCAAGATTTAACCTCATTTATTCGTTCTATCCCCAAAATACAATTTTTTCCGGTTAACGTTCAGTTGGTATAATTGCAACAAATCATATCTTGGCGCCATAATGAATGTCAAATACTACGACAATAGACGTTTCTTAAATTTGGATTTATCTCAAAACCAAAGCGATTTCACAACATTTTTCATCAAAAAATTTGGGAATTTAAACAAATTTTTTAAATAGAAACGAATGTCGGTAATACAAAATTTCTTCATTAGAATTCAAAACATAACACGTTTGCTTTTTTTTACAAACTACTTCTATTTCACTCTAACCGTTACCGATACATCTACAAGTTTAAATCAATGAAAACTTTATAACCTTGTAATCATTCCTGTTTGAACAAGAAACAAAGTTTAAGAATACTCTGTAAGTAAAAATTTTTATTTATATTTAATATATAAGGATGTACAATTATATATTATCTAGGTAAAACAAATCCAATCAAGATCCAAACCGCAAGTATTTCATTTGGGTATTCATGTAAGTGCAGGGCAATAACGAAATCTTTGCTCGGAGTATCCACATTGAACACTTTCGACGACTTTATCTTCTCAAAAAGTATCGTTGAATTGCAATAAGGTAAGTTGATTATAAATCCGTGTACCTAGAACGAATTTTAAAAACATGTTAAAAAATATTGTGTAATTTGGTAATGCTGAGTGAATGTTCTTGGAAAAAATTTAACGAAATGTGGTAAATTGACAGTTTTTTTATAAATATTAAGGTTTGTAATATTGCAAAGTTAACAAAAGTTAATTTTCATATTATTTAGCAATTTAAGAGAGGAAAGTTTGAGAATTTATTAACACAAAGTAATTATTGTGTTTATTATAGCTCCATCTGTTATCAACTAATAAAAATGATATTTTGAAAATGTCCTTTTTCATTTGCAATGAATAACCGATCATTGTATTGTTAATAATTATACTTTATTTTCACATAACATAAGATATTGCACAGTTTTTGATTGTGGGTTATTGAATGAAGGTTCTAAATCAGGATCAATGCAGCCATAAGCATGATTTTGGCTAATCTAGCAAAGTTAAAATATTTCCTTTATTTTACCTAAATCAGTAGATGATAGTAATAATAAAGCTGATAAAACTCAAATTTCATAAGAAATGGCAGACCACAGGGAACAGGGCATGACTATTCCCGGTAGCCTCTCCTATGGAAATCAAGTGGTTGAGAATGAGCAGGATATCTGCGACCTTTTCGCTGATTATTTCAGTTCTGTATTTGTTGATGGATCCTTAGAAAGCAGCCGCAAGTTCTCCTCCTTGTGTATTGAGCCTTGGTTTGTTCGCGACGACATTTCGCGTGAATTGTCACATGTGAGTCCTAAAGCAGGCGCGGGTCCAGACCTATTCTTTCGTTTAGTGTACATCGGTGCTCACTGAGCCATTGGCGTTCATTTTTTAAACTTCCCATAACACTGCAACTTATCCATCCGAATGGAAGAAAGCCCTGATACTTCCCATTCATAAAAGTGACGCACAAAATTTAATCATCAACTATAGACCTATATCTATTCTGAACGCCTTATCTATGATTTGCTTATGTTTAATGTCAAATCATCTTTAATCCCTGAACAATATGGCTATTTTCAACAATAGCCAAGTTGACGCTTTAGATACTGAATACAGCAAAGCTTTTGACAGGATTGACCATGGGATTTTTTTAAACAAACTTCCTAACTACGACATCCCAGATGGCCTAATTTACTATTATCACAAGCCTTTACTATTAACAATTATCGCTCAACATTCAGAGACACAATTTTTGTAGTTAATAGTCATCAGCAAAAAGGATTAGTAGATCCTCTATCACTTCTGGAAAATCATTGATGTATAGGATAAAGTGGAAAAGTCCAATATTGATCCTGGTGGGACGCCTCGCAGTATCTTTGTCAAGTCTGAAATAACTTCAGCACCAGTTTGACCATACCTGACCACCGGCTGTTCTCTTTCTGACAAGTAAGATCTGAACCACTCCAGCGGAAGTCTCCATAGCTTCCAACATCTTCAATAAGATGTCATGGTGGACACTGTCAAATGCTTTAGTTAGGTCCATCACTAATACAACTGGTAAGATCGCTGTTATTAATTCCAGTTTGAATTCGTTCTAATAATTGGAAAATTGCTCTGGTTACAGATCCGCCTTTTATATAACCGTTTTGGGACTGGTTAAGTATTTGGTTTTTGATAAAGTAATCTTTTAGTCCTTTTAAGACAAGCTTCTCAAAAAGTTTTGCAATGTTAGGAATCGGCCGGTAATTTGTAAAGTCTGATTTATTTCCTTTCTTATAAATCGGCCTTACTATAGTTTTTTTCAGACTCATCGGAAATATTGCTGTATTGCAAGACCAGTTTATGACGCTGCTCAAAGATTCTGTAATTTCATCAACAAATGATACGAAATTCACGCCATAAACTTGAGTATGCAGTTAAGCACAAGTGATAAAGTTTAGGTTGGTATTATGTTTTAATACCTCATACGCCCTTTATTGGCGTCAATTATTGCCTGCGGCTGTATCTCGACAAAGGCACAGAATAACATTATTCTGTGACAACGGAGACCTACTTCGAGTGTGGCTCAACAATGATATTCATGCCTGCTTTCACCACTCAAAATTTCTTTTATATGCCGATGACAGCAAAATATTTGCCCCGATTTCAGTTCACTTGATGACTGTGTGAAGTTGCAGGATAGCTTATACAGATTACAGGCGTATTGTATAAATAATAATCTTTGTCCACGACTACCTTATAATATATACCTTATGAATGAGTTTTCTAAAACAAAATGGTAGTCATTTTTCACGGAGTGAATAATAGCGGTGAATAATAATCATTATCCACGGGTAGCCATCTTGACAGACTAATAATTATGATTTGAAACGTTAAAATTTCAAAAAACGTCAATTTAATTCAATTTTTTAAGAGTTTCTAAAGGTTTGACATTAAAAAACCTAAATAAATTCCTTTTTTCGTATGATTTAAGCATAAATTAATTAATTTTCGTAAAGAAAACGACGTTTTATAAAACTGTCATTTAATTTTGACAAGTTGTTGTGAAGTTGGTTACAGTTAGTAACATTGAATTTGTGTCACATTGACGTTTAACCTTTATTCAAAAATGTATTTAAAAAATTAATTATGGAATCAATTTCAATAGTCATGGACAAAGTATAGTATTCTACTCGCATATAATGAGCTATTATTCACTCAGGTTAATTATGCCACTCGCTACGCTCGAGACATAAACTTAACCTTCGTGAATAATAGCCATCATTATATGATCATATAATAATATACTATTATATTAACCAAGACAAGTGCAGCAAAATCACATTTACACGTAAACGCTAGCTTATTAGCTCTCAAACAATCTGAGTGCGTTCGAGATCTTGGCGTTCTTTTTGACTCCAAACTTACATTTTCTGCTCATACTAATTATATCGTTAACAAGGCCTCCCGGATGCTCGAATTTGTCGTACATGTTGTCCTTTCACTAATCTATCCTGTATCTGTTCACTCTATTTTCCTTATGTATCATCTGTTCTTAACTATGCATCTACCGTTTGGAACCCCCAATATCACATCTACATTGATCGCCTAGAGCAAATGCAAAAGCCTTTTCTTCGGCACCTGCCACACAAATTCGATTGAGAAAATGGAGCCGATTATATGAACCTCAGCTTAAATCTGTTAACACCAGAGAAGATACATTTTCGCTGGTTTTACATTCAATAGCTACTTGTATTACAAGGTATTGATGTTTTATTCTAGACTGCTAATAGAATAAAACCAAAGTCTCTTACGGCCGCTGCAGCAGGTTGATTACGATTCACCTTTAAGTTTCTCGATTGTATGAACCTCAGCTTAAATCTGTCATAATCAGAGAAAATATATCTTCGCAGCAGTAGCTTGATTAGGATCCATCTTTAAGTTTCTCGATTTTATGAACCTCAGTTTAAATCTGTCACAACCAGAGAAAATACATTTTCGCAGCAGTAGCTTAATTATGATTCATCTTTAAATATCTCGATTTTATGAACCTCAGCTTAAACTTGTCATAGAGAAGAGAAAATACATTTTCGCTGGTTTTATTTTAGTCTGCTAATAGAATAAAGCTGAGATTGCTTGCGGCGGATGTAATAGCTCGATCATAATTTATCTTTGGACATGAAAATTGACACTGTTAGAGAGGGACCGTAAGAGTCGTCATCACGTTAATATCGAATCCATTTAAATTAAGTTAGTAGACTGCAGTTACTAGATAGAGAGACAGAAGACACAGCGATTCCTAATTACACGAACGATTTGTGGATGTTCTTCCAACTGGTGACCAAAAGGCGACAAAAAAAATAAAATGTTTAGAACTATTACGGCAATGGAGTTCAAACTCAAAATGTCATCACAATGTATCAAAATGGCATTAGTCTGATGACGCACTCGAAACATAGGACTAACACTAGACCAAGAACTAGAATCATTCGGCTTTAGCCGTACGTCTCTTATGACGGCTAAACTCAAATGTTCTAAGTCGACGTAGTTTATACCGATTTTGAGAAGGCCTTTGATCGCATTGATCACAGTATGTTGCTACAGAAATTGAGCTATTTTGGTATGTCTTCTAATTCATTAAATTTGATGAAATCGTACCTTGCTGATAGAGTATGTCGTGTTTTTACAATGAATTTTATTCCGACGGCTACTCGCCTACATCTGGAGTTCCTCAAGGATCCAATCTGGGACCGCTGCTATTTGTTCTATATATAAACGATTTATTAGACTCGCTTACCTGTCCAGTGCTTGCTTATGCTGATGATTTGAAAATTTTTGTGGAGGTCAGATCATTGGATGACTCTAGGATGCTGCAGAACAACCTGGACATTATTCAGAAGTGGTGCAATTTCAATGCCCTTTCTTTAAGTATCAGTAAATGTACTTATATATCATTTACAAAGAAGTTAAATAAAATCGACACAGTTTATATTGCGGCTTCCATACCTCTAACAAGGGTCTCTACGGTGAAGGATCTGGGAGTGCTGTTTGACTCAGAACTTTCTTTCTTGCCCTATATTGAGGAGATGTGCTCTCAGGCTTGGAGAACTTTGGGTTTCATACTGAGGATCATGGGTCGATTTGCTGATTTTGGTACCCTGAAAACGCTATTTATGGCTCTGGTGATCTCTCGCCTCCAGTATGCCTCTGTAATATGGTACCCTATTTACACGTCACAACAACTAATGGTTGAGAAAGTCCAGCGTCGATTTCTCAAATTTTTGTCATATCGTATGGATGGTCAATATCCGCCTAGAGGAGTGAACTACTTAGATCTACTGCATCGCCACAAGTTTCCTTCTCTGCAGGATAGAAGAATGGTCCAAAGTGCCTCGTTCTTGCAAAAGTTGATGTGTGGTGAGATCGACTGTGCGTGGTTGTTGTCGCGAGTGAATATAGTGGTGCCGCGCATAAATTCTCGGTCCCATTTGTATTTTTATCCACCTTTATGCAGAACAAATGTCAAAAAAAGGGCGCCGATAACACATATGATCACGAACATGAACGATAGTTGTAGGCTAGAATAAACATTGCATTTTCTGTCTCTTTTCTTGCCTCTTTTATTTGATTGTATTATTATTTAGGTATGTATTTTATGCATTTTAATTTCACTTGTAATTATATTGATGTACAATTTGTAATAATTTGTATATTTTTTGTATTTTGCCCTTAATATGGTGCGCTGTTGGCCAATAAAGTTTATTATTATTAATGTTAGTTCTAGTGACAGTGCAAGTGTAAAACTAGAACTAACACTATACCTAGAACTATAATAATCATTCAGGTTTACGCGTCTTTAGAGACGTGTAGCTAAACCCAAATGATTCTAGTTGTAGGTATAGTGTTAGTTCTACATAGTAACAGTATTAGTATAAAACTAGAACTAACACTAGACCTGGAACTAGAAAGTTTCGGGTCTGAAGACGCACGGCTAACAAAGTACAAACCTGTTGTGTATAATCAGTATTTCGTAAATGAGAAATATCATGCTTTGAATACATAGTATTATCTTCTAAACTCTCCATGTGTTGCTTAAAATAATTCGATAAAGTATGATTCCAAATAGTTCTCGCAGTCTTTCTATATTTCATAATTTTCTTCTTAAGTTTACTCTCTAATTGTACTTCAAGCTCTTCTGCTACATTATTTTGCGTATAAATAATCTTCTTTTGAATTGAATTCGTAGGAGCCGAAACTTGATTGTTAAATAACGGCGACCAATCGGATCTTTTATTAAAATCGAATTGGGTTAGATTTAAATCGTTTGTCCTTTGCGTATTTGCCCAAATCTAAACAAAAAATTTCTTTATATGTTGTATTAATTTAATGAATTATTCTTTTTACATTTTCTTCATTAATTACGCAAAATACTCTTTGTAAGGGACAAAAAGGATCTATTATATCGTACTTATTCCCCGTAGTTACATCAAATATTTGATTAATATTGTTTTCACGTATTAAAACGTAAGCTGTTTGCCCATTTGGCACACCGTGTCCAAGTAAAAGCCAAGCATCAATGTTTAACGCGATTATGTAACATGTTAACGTAATCGCGTGGTCTAAAATTGTTCCAATAGATAGTTTTAACATTTCCTGCCAAAAAAAAAAAGTGGCATATAAAACTAATTAAAATTAATTTGACGCTTTTTTACCTCTACGCATAAACATACGTTATTATAAAGTTTATTGCATTCAATAAAGGGGATTAATTGGACAAATCTTGCGCATTGTTCGGGAGTCGTTTCGAAATGGCCTAAAACGTTCGTTTGAGGGGGTTCTAACGGTTTTATAAATCTTGTTAAACAGATTGTTTTTCCATAATAATCAATAACCATTGATGAGAATTGTCGGTGAGGGTAACTTGCATTATAAATTTTATTCCAATTAAAAATGTGTTTGTGTAAGTATGCTGGTTCGCTTGTTGAGATGGTTTCCTAAAAATATTTTCGTTTATTAATATGGAAATAAATTGATTTATTCTTTACCAAATCTAAGATGAATTTTGGAAAGTTTGGTTCCATCCAGATATTTAATTGGATGTGGATGATGTGGTGTTCATAATTTAAAAGCAAGGGAGAATTTACTTTAAAGAATCCACTTAGCTGAAATTAAAAGGAATTAAATTAAAAATTTGGGAACAACGTGGTTTTAAAAAGATATTTTAATTTCATATAATTAATTTTATATAATAATTTTACCTTTTCTGTATGAGCAATAGATGCTATCGGAATTCGTATATTTCCCAACCAATCGTTACTTTTTGAATCGGAGCCTTTCAACTCAGTTTCATTCCATATATTTATAACTACAACTCCATTTAATGCATTTGGATTGAGATAATCAATATGTTTAGATCTGTAAATCAAATTAGCTACTTTTAATAATATTTTAAACCCCATAAGAATCTATGCTGTAACTATTTGGATCTTCAGCGCATACATATTTTTCAATCAATCTGCTTGTATAATGTGAACATAGGTGAGGACATTGACATTAATAGAGTTTTATAGAGATAAAGGAACAACACTTGATGAGAGACACAAAAACTAATATTATTACAATTAAATTAAAAAATGGCATGGAACAAAATTGTCAATGAATTTATTATGTTCCCAAAACTATAATAATACAAACCCAAAATTTCTACATCTACAAACCTAGCATTTTACTACATTTTTAAAGTAGTGTGCTAGTATTACAAGCTTCGGGTTGCCAAGCTACTCGAAAACAGCATGATACAAAATGTGTATCTAGTAAACATACTATGCATTTGCAATTGATGTAAGATTATGTGCGAGATTGGTCCGTTTCTGTTCTATTCAAAAAGGCTGGAGTTTGCATACAATATTCTATACAACCCTGTTATTCAAGAAGGATTTATCTTTCTTCATATGAATCAATCCTTAGTTTTTGTATACTACTTTGGTCAAAGTGGTAATTGTCAAAAGAAACTGCGATACTAAAAGTTATACTGTCTAAGGCAATAAATCTTCATTGCTTCTAAGTTTCTTAGTGGTTATGGAAACTAAATTTAAGATAAAACTAAAACCGATGGAGAAAACATTAGGTTTGAAAATTTTTTCTAATTAACATAAACAATATGAAGAATAACCAGTTCCAACCTTGATGGTTCATGATACTTGCAATTCTGGAACCGATAAGATGTAGAAATTGCTAAATAGGATGATAAGGTTGCGAATGTTGTCCATGTATTGCCTATATTACCTTGAGTTTAGTATTTGTAATATTGTTTAATCCTAGGTTGTGCCTTAACGTTTTCTGAAATGCCCCATAACATTCCTAAACAATTCAACATATTATTTCTAGGCGGGTGAGATAATTTGATTTATTTTTAATGTTGATCATGTTTATAACGATTAAACTGGACGCCATTATTTACCATAAAAGGTCATTTTTGATTATTTTGTGGCCCCGTATTCTCCGTTAAAGGCTTACATAGAACTGGAAAGGTGAAATAGTCAATTTTTCAAAAAACTACTCATTCGAAAACAGTTGGAATGCAGGTAACGAAGTCATCTTTCGAAAAGTGATGTTCCAATATACATTTTGCAATTAAAATTGTCATTATCTTAAATTTATAGTACATTAGTCGAGACGAACAGTTCAAAAGAATTCACGGGTAAAATGACAGTCTGGGGAACTCAGAAAAGATGTAAGAAAGAAGGGGAAGCAACTTTACGCGGAACAAAAGATCAAGCTCTACAGATGAACAACCACACCACGAAAAATGTACTCAGGTCTCATATTCTTGGTGCTCATGACAAAAGTGAAATGCAGATAACAAACTGAATTACAACACACACACAGTTATACAACATTTTCTGATATGTTCCTTATTAATTAACCCCAAGACCTTAGTAATGATAATTTGTTTGAACATTGTGTAGGCGGAGAGACACAGAATAATAGTAAGAGTAGCAATGACGTCATTTGTAAAATGGAATAAAAAGAAGTGCAATCCAATCCAACAATTTTCTAAAATGATGCAGTAACAAGCAAATAATGCAACTGTCAGAAATTGAAACAAGGAGAAACAAGGGCACCAATGGAAGAAAGAATGAGGTTGACATAACTAAAAAAGATATAATTAATGCCTCAACATCTAAAGAAGACCCGAAGTGATGTGATTTTATAAAAAGTTATCAAAGTGGGTGACAAACTCAATGTTGAACAGAAATGCGTTTCTCAAAATCTAGAGAAATAAAAATTTGTAAATCCTATAAGTATACTTAAACATTGAAATTTTCTTTTAATACAGAGTGTCCGAAAGTCATGGTGCATTTTTAAACAGTGAGAAAAAAGAAACAAAGTGCGATAAAATGTGCAAACCTTCGCCAAAGAAAAGCAAAACTCTCCTTGTTTTATATATGTTTATTGCAATTTTATGTGGCTTTTATTTGTCTAAACCAGTGTTCTTCAACCTGCGTTCCGCGGAACCCTAGGATTCCACTCAAACGCTTTAGAGAGTCCACGAGTCAATGCTACAGTTTTTGACAAAGTTTCTTATTCGACCAGTTTTGCGCCAACATTAAACCCAACGGATAACAGTGGAGAAGAAAATAAGTCCGGATTAACAAGCCGAAAAAAACGAAAGTATTATGAATATTGGATTTACTTGTATTGTCGATAAAAATGAGCCAAATGGGTTTTGTGTAATATATGAGCAACTAGTGAACAACGGCAGTTTAAATCCTGCAAAGGTAAAGTGTAATTTGGAAACTAAACATCAGACTTTGAAAGGTAAAAGCGAATATTTTAAAATAAAATGTATTGAACTAAATCAGAAAAGGAATACCTTTAAAAGGTATGTTCGTGATGATAATTAAAATGTACTAAAAGCATCGTATTTAATTACTTGGTAGCTAAACAAGGCAAAGTTTATATGATAGCAGAAAAATTGATTAAACCTTGTGCAAAAGATTTAATCACATCCATGATTGGTGAAAAATTTGCAAGCAAAATTGATCTTGTCCTATTATCTGATACGCCGATTTCACGACGAATTAAAGACATGTCAGATTTCTGCGAAGCGGAACTAGTGAATGGTTTGAAACACGCTAAAGATGGCTTTACTTTACAAATGGATGAATCTACAGATGTGGCTGGATTAGCAATTTTGTTAATTTTCGTTAGATACATACACGAATACTCTTTTAAGGAAGATATGCTTTTATGTAAAGCTTTTCCAGCTCAAACAACATGTGAAGAAATTAATTTACTTAAACTTTGAAAAATATTCAATTTCTTGGAATTTATGCCATCATATATGTAGTGATGGACCCAAAGGTATGGTTGGTGTCGTAAAGGGCGTAATCAACATCAAGGCTATCTTCATCGCCATCTTCTCGCTCTTAAACGGATACCAACTGCTCTGCAAGAAGTGCCGTTAAATTGATTAATTTTATCAAATCCAGACCCCTAAATGCCAGGGTATTTACCCTATTGTGTGATGACCTGGAAGCTTACATAAAAATCCTTCATACTGATGTAAGACTCGATTCTAGGAATTACTTGATGAAATTCGTATCTTTTTAACTGTGACTTTACTAGAAAACTTAATGACACTAGTTAGTTTCAAAATTTAGCCAACCTTGCAGACATATTTTAGTACCTGAACGACGTTAGTATTTCACTTCGAGGATCAAATACTACAATTTTTAAGGTCGCTAGCAAAGTAAACTCGATAAAATTTAAACTTACGCTTTGGGAGGAATACATCACCAAAGATAGTACAGAATCTTTTGCTAATTTAAACGATTTCTTAGCAACCAATAATATCGTATTCGACCAGAATATTTTCCCCCTACTTGCAATAATTTAAATTGGATTAAAAATCCTTTTAATGAGTGTAGTGGTGTGGATACCTTCCCGATTAAGGAAAGAGTTCAACTTATAGATATACGTACCGACACCTCATTAAAATCTACATTTGCACATGATGGCATTGGTCCATTTTGGATAAAATTATTGGATTAATATCCGGAAATTTTCAAACGCACCGTAAAAGAATCGTAACAACCTATCTCTGTGAGAAATCCTTTTCCAGATTCGTCGCTACAAAAACGACGTACAGAAATCGACTTGATGCTGAAAATGATATGCGTCTCCAATTAACATCGAATCATCCAGATATTGATAAATTGTGCAGTGATAAACTAGCACAACAAAGTCTTTATTTATTTATAAGTATTTATCTGTTACTATGCTTATATTTATCTTTTTGTTTGAATAAACACAAGTTAGTTACTCTTGTATAGAGTTTTTAGAGCGAAGGCAGAGACGCATCTTGTTCACAACATGTAATATGTAATTATAATACGACACATCAATCCCTAAAATCTCAACTCCCTTATCTCGAAAAAGGGTTTCGTGCAATGATGAAGGTTGAAGAAGACTGGTCTAAACGATAATCAAGTATTCCTATCTGGCAGTGCTTCGATGTACAGGGTGGTTCAAATTCGATGTCCGAATAGGCTAACTCGGAAACTATAAGAGTTAGAAAAAAAGTAGCTTACATGTCATGATCTCGTTTTTCGAGAAACTGCTAATGCCGAAAACCTCATAGCGCTATCGTCTTTTGTTTTTCCCCTAGAGGCCAAAATTGGAAATATCGTAAAACCAGCAAGTGCAATTATCTTCGTTATTATTATAGGTGGAGTATTATAACTAAGACATTATATGGACACTTTTTTATAGAGAATTGGATGACGTAGTCAAAAAAATTTTTTTGGTTTTAGATTTTGAGATATCACAATTTTCGTTTTTTTAAATGGAAACAACCACTGATTATTCGCTTATTAAATTCGTTATTTTTTTCTGATTACAAAAATATAGGGTTCGACAGGTCTATTTCTTATTGTTTTAGAATAAAGCCAAAAATAAACTTGTTTTAAATTTCCATCTAGTGTCATCGACGAAATTAAATTTACAGTTTCCTGTAAATTATGGTACTATAACTAAAAATTAAAAAAACAAATTTCTGATGTTTGAAACAAATAAATTTGTTGAACTATTTAATTTATATATGTTTTACACAAAAGTTGGAATAGATTGCATTATTTCACATTTTTTATTACGATTTAATATTATTTTTAAATGACTTAATAAATTATCGATAGATGGCGCTCGGAAACTAT